TAACTGAGAAAGAAGCTTATATTGAAATTCTAGATACTAATAAAGAGTTGCGCAAAGAATTATCTGACGAAATAGTCGAAAATAAACTTAAGGATAAAAAGCTGAAAGCTCTCACCTGGGAACTAGAAACCTGTTATAAGACATTATCTCATCAGGATTCAACAATACTAGCTCACGAAGATGAGATAGCATCTCTTAACTCTGAAATAAAATCTCTAAAACAGCATCTTCACAAAGCATTACAGGATTTAAGACATAAAGGTGATGTCAGCACTGCTCAAGATATCCATATTTTAAGGCTAGAAGACAAGGTTAATCAGCTTAAGAAGCGAATTAGAGAGATTACAGATAAAAAATTATTCCAAATAAATAGTTCACCAATGGCACTACCAGATATTTTAAGAAATATAGGTACAGCTTTAGATCAAGTTGAAAGATATATTGATAGGGATACATCATTTAATCCAAAAAATACTCTGAATGAAATACGGATCTCAGTAACAACTATCTAAGAACATATGGAAAGGCATATTCAGGATAATGTAAACTTACAAGATTTGCTTAATACATCCTATAGGCAGACTAATAGGACTATGAATGATATGACAAATTTTAGAAATGATAGTCTTCGAAATGTACAAATGATGGAGCAAGCATGGAGGGATGAAAGACAAGCCCGACAACAAAGAGATGATGAAATCATTAATCTTAGAGATACAGTATGTGAAAATGTTTATGAAAAATGTTGGTGGAAAAGAAGATACACTGCATGTACTCAACAGGCTCAAAATTTAAAAAGATATTATCGTCAAAGCAGAAATGATATAGGATTGCTAGAATATAATCGAGATCGACATTTTTAACTGATATCAAAAATGGAAGACAAGAGAATTAAATTTGAGACAAAATATTTTGAATTTACAAAACAATCCTCCAAGAAGAATGGCTGTCGTACATGAAATATATCAAATGTTAGCCCCAACTCTCAGACAAATTCCCCAATATATAGGGCAATATACTCCAAATGAATACATTTAAAAAGTTACAAATGTTTTTGAATCTGCCAGGGCTGTAATCACGACTGCCAATATTGCTAATGCAAATACTTTTATTGATGCTGAGAAATGTGATATTTTAAAATCTAAGATGGGAGATAAATTTTCCTCAGTACCGGCAAATGATCCCTATACAGCTACTAATTCCGCTATTAATACACTTGCAACATTTACTGTTTGGCTTCAGCATAAATATCGTGAAGTAACAGCTGGAAATGAGAAAATAGCTTTACAATCACTTATACAAGAAAGGTTCGACACAACAGATTCCCCAGACAGTTATGAAGCTAGGGTACGAAAACATATAGTAGGTTTTGCTGATAATCAAGTATTACCAGCATTATATACCCATTTACCTCCAGATCTTCGTAGTAATATAAAAATGTATATGGCTATAAGAGCAGGAGGAGGTGTAAATCCAACTGTAGATGATTTCTTTCAAAATCTTAAAAAATGCTGGGTCGAACGTCAAGTCGGAGTAAGTACTTTTACTCAGACAAATATAGGTATGCAATCCCAAATTCCATCTCCCAACCAGGCCTTAACTATTCATCCGCAAAAAGATTTATTAGCTGAAGGAATTAAAGCACTTGAATTTACAAAGGAATTGGCAAAGGATTTAGATTACACAGGAATAGCAACAGATGTTGATACTTTACGTCCATATATTTATAATGATCTTATAAAAAGGTTAGGGCCTACAAATATCAGCATATAATAGAAGGAGCCCCTTCTCAGATTTAGAGGTTAAAAATACAAATGCTACAAAGAAAGCTGTTAGAAAGGTAAAACAAAAAGTACCAGTTAAACGATTTGTTCGTCTTTGCCCAGTCTGTAGAAAAGCTGGCTATATAAAGACTAATTGTCCTGGAGTTAAGACAACTAAAAAGGGTAATTATGTATACCAAAATGCTGAGAAAGATCCGATCACAAAAGAACCTCCTGATAATTCTGAAGAGCCTGAAATAGAATACATACTTGAGGAGGAAGTAGAAGAAGATGTCGAATATGTTGATGATGATGATTCTACCTTAAACACCTCTGACCGAAACTGTTATGCTATAAAAAAAAAGTGGTACGAAGTGCAGTACCTATGAAAAAGACCCACAAGAAGGAATCTCCTATTTCCAAATCTCGTAAAAAAGTAGAACCCTCAGCACCTATAACCATGATTATAGATTATGTTTTTTTAATAGCCTTAAAATCTATATTATCATCAGTTGTATAACATATTCCTAAAGAAATTCTTAAGGAAGGTTCTCAATATATTAATACAATATACCTAAATTGAAAGATCAGATTCTAAATACGGCTATGAAAGATGATACTGTTAAGGAAAGGGAAAATGTATGGAAGCTTGTTTGTCACTGACAAAATCAAAAATATTTTACATCCGCTATTCCAAGCTATAAATATAGAGCAAAAATCTCTTATTCAAATCCCAATAGAAGAGAATCTAGATGAACACATGAATGATATGCAAAGCACCTCCCGGCTAATACCAGTAGGTTCTAATACGCTAAACTATGCTATTAAAGCATATGCTCAACGTCATTCAGCTGAAAAAAAATAGTCAAATATATTGGCCCAAGCCATTAGAGATAAATTTTTTACAAATAAAGGATGTTGATGATGTTGCGACTATTTATTGTAAAATAGGAGGTTTAATCATACCTTGCGTAATGATTGATACTGGTTCTGATTCTTCCATATTTTCAGATAATATTGCTGAACTTGTTGAGCTTTTAGGTATTAAAATTAATAGAAAAAAATTCATAGACTTAATGGAGTTGCAAGCCAATCCATATCGATCGGCATTATGGATAATGTTTCCATAACAATTAGTTTTGGAGATAATACAGCATCTATCATGGATGAATTTTCTGTTGTACCTGCAGAAATAGATCATAATGGAAATGCTAAATCTTTAGTAATTCTTAGTACTCAATAGCAATATCACGCTGGATGGAAGCCTTTAGTAAAAGGAGAATTTAAAGCTATATGTAATGGAAAGACTATTACTATTCTTCTATCAGTTCACAAATCCCAGCGTAATGTCTTTACTGTAGAGAAGGATACAGAATCTATAAAAAAAACTAGTTAACTGACGTTCTAATAAGGAGCGAGTATGCAGAAAATGTGGTAAAGAATTTCTGTATCCATCCAAGCTTGAGTAACATTTGGCTAATAAAACTCCATGTATTTTTTTTGCAAGTAGCTCAAGTAGTTTAAGTAGTTCTAAAAGTTTAACAAGTAGTTCTATTAATTCCAGAATGTTAACAAGTAGTTCAAATAATTTTAAAGAAAAAAATATGGTACCTATTTGATTAAGCCTTACCTAGACACGCATTCGAAAAGTATATTTTTTTCTGATATTTAAATCATTCTTTGCATCTTCCCGCTTTTCAGTCCATAATTTAGTATCATGGTAAGAAAAATATGAACTTGGCTCTATTGTCGCATCTCTTCCAGTATGGGGTATATAAGAAATAATCTTATCATTAAGAGCAATAATCTTTAAGTCTTTAGTGAAGATAACATCCTCCAAATCTTTATACTTATGC